GCCTCCGTTAAGCTTGACTTTCTTGTCATCATGGACATCATCTTGTCCGTCTTCCTCGTTCTCATCAAGTTTAATTGGTCGGATCCTCCAAATATCGTTGGTACCTCCGTTAGGAAGTTTGCGCTTCAATTTCGATTGCCCTGTGCCCATCATCGCGAAGCTAGACAGGGTGAGCGCATCGACAAGTTCGCCCATTCGGCCTGATGCCATAAAACTTTCTGTTATGATTGCCGATGATGAAACTACGGTGGCGAGGGTCATGCATTGGGCAAGGATTTCACGGCCAAGTATGTGTCCTGCATAATAGAGGGCAGTGTGGTATGCCAGGATAATCTCCGGGAGATAGGTTGATCGTATAAAAGCGAGTTCTTTTGCCTCGGCGTCTAATTGATACATGTCAGCAAAGGAAAAAAAAATCTAAAAGCGGTTATTTAAAGGAGCAAACTCACCATCAATTGGTTGGATGAGCCACTCGGTACAAAGAGGTTCTATCGCATGGGTAATTGCATCCAGAGCGGGATGGAGTTTCTTTTTTATTGCAGGCTTCTGCGTAGCATCCGAGCAACTATATTCAAGTCCGGTTAGTGTATCATGCATCAGCTGCTGATGATCGAAGGCGCAGCAACGTACTTTGTATAATCGTCCATCAGATCTCCCCACTTTTCAATGGCATCAAAGGACTGGATGAGCTGCTCGAGCTCTAACATCGTTTCGGCCTGCATCAGAAGCTGCTCGCGCGTAAGCTTCTCCGTTGTCTTAGCCTTTTGCTGCTCAGAAGTGCCGTCCGACGTGGGACTAGAAACACCGTTTTCTGTCAAAGGCTCCAGTAATGGCCCTTGGCCACGGTTTGTCATGTCCACAAGTGTCTGGTGCAGTTTTGCGCGCTTATACATTTCGCGAGCAGTAGAGATTTTACCAGCAGCTAAATAATCCCATTAGAAAGAGTGTTTAGCAAATTGGTGGAGTGCAGGGGAAACTCACTGATAAATCGCTTGTATAGATGTGTCCCAAGGATGCATATTCTCGACCACTGACCACTGATATATCGGTGCCAGTCAATACAACGAATCAGGTTCTCATCTTCCGGTGAGACTTTGGACTTGGAAATGAATCCCTTCATGATATGTCCAATCTTTCCTGGTCTATCACCGCCGGTAGTAACTGTTCTCACAAGTTTGATTGGTTTCGGGTTGAATTTTTTATCTGCTTCCTTCAAGACCCATCGCCATTGGCTTTGGATCATTGCAGATGTGTCAATCTTGAGGCGTTTCATCATCTGAATATGCGATTCTCGTTCAGATGGGTCAGTCACCTCAATGAGAACCTTTCCAAGGACTTCATTGCCCATGTCGCGGGGGAGAAGGGAGGCGTAGAGCGGGATATCCCTGGTTGCCCCATATTCTCGGAGGAAGTCGATATACCTCACCACGTTGATAGAAGCAGTGGCAGAGTAATGCGAGTCGGAACGAACCAGCCCGACAGCCCGCAAGATGAGATATAGATGCGCCGTAAGCCGTAGAGAATCATTATCCTTTGCAGCAATCAATGTCGGCTGGTCAAACGTTCGCATGGAGCTAATATCGGGTATAAGGGTAGGCTCCCCACTCTCTTGCGCTACTTTGGTTAAAGCATTCGCCTGGAGGTTGAAGAATTGGTCATAGCTCTGGCCCAATATCGCAGCCTGGATAGTACAGTATGGGTTTTTAGACTCCTTAGCCGTTCGTGGATCTTTGACCAATGTATCCAGGAAGTTGCGTATGCTGTCATACTGTGGAGGGTCAACACGTAGCTCGACCTCGGCCTTCGGAGCGTAGCTGAGCTTCCGCTGAAGTTGTTTGCAGAAGTCTCGGTACCGGGAAAGTAGAATATGGTTGCAATTGACGTAAACGAAGTCACTCCAGCTTTGGCAGACTTCATATGCGGGGCCAGTTTCTCCAGATATCAGGGCATAAACAGCCCGTTCGTAGCGGTTAGAATTCGGGTTATTGGCAAGGACTGAACAAGCAGCTCTCCAAGATTCCTGAGAGCGGTAATTCATCATTCGAAGAAGACTGGAGTGAGAAGGGTCCTTAGCCGATAGTGACGAATCTCCAGCCGAACCACACAAACTAATTGCTCGCCAGCTTTCAAGGCGCTCCTTAGCCCATTCCCGAATAGACAGCCAATCTTTGCCGGTTCTAATCATCTTCCAGCATTCTAGCCATGTTGCCTCTTCAAAGGATTGATCTTGTTTCTGGAGGCCGAGGCCTTGTCGAGTAACCGCATCGGGATCAAGTTGAGTAATTAGAGGCTCGTTGTGGGATGAACTTAAAAGAGATGCAGTAACGCTCGGGTCGTCAGGTTCGAGAGGTTGGGGCCATGACCGCAATCGTTTCGCGCCCTTGATAGCTTCTTTTGTGTATAGCCACCCATGAGCCCATAGCCCCTCACCTCGGTTCGCATCCATTTCCAGCTTGGAGATCGCCGAGTCCATGACTTCAATGCCAGCCCTTGCGGTGTTTTCTAGCCATTTGAGCATGACCGCATTCTCAACAGCGAAATGGTCGGTTCTCAGAAAGGTCTCCCAGATATCTTGGTCCGTCGAGTATCGATGGAGTGTTTGTAATGCCGTCTTCTGATTGAGCTGCGCCTGCATGTGCGACTCAGGGTCACCAACTGCAAGCAGATGGAAGACCAACCCCCAGGTGTCTGCCTCTAGTTGCCAACGTCTGATACTGGCCTCCTCATCCTTGCTAACCGACACATTAGGCTTGTAACTCTGACTTAGGTTCACTAGGGTGGAAGATCTGAGTGATTTTCGAGCGCCGGTGGGCTGTGATAATTCCTTTGCAGTATCTTCGGCAATTTGCTGGTACTTCTTTACAAGCTTGCAGGCTTCTTGGAATGCCCGGGTATCGCCCGGTTGGAGGCCTTGCCGCCTAAAATTGTCCAGACTTTGCGCATAGGCTTCTATCTGTTTGACAACTCGATCTGCAGTGTGTTGTAATGGATGAAGGGCGTCTTTTACGCCTGTCGGCAGGAGGAGGGGTGGTTCGGGAGTTTCAGAGAGCGTGAGACTTTCTGTGCTCACATGAGTTAGCGTCAGTGTAGTAAAGGTGATTAATGAAATCTGATTCCTCTGAGTCAACCTACCGGTGCGAAGTTTAGATGGATGAGAGACTGGTGCAGGCGCAGGCGCTGTGCCGTTGATACCATTGTGATGAACTCCGTTCGGCTTCCCAATATCTCCAACACTCTCTTCATCTTCTTCTGCGTCACGGCTCTCCTCGTCTTCATCATCTCCATCAACCTCCTCGTCCTCTTCGTCCTCTTCATCTTCCATTGAGGCGTCGTCACCGAAACCAGGCCGCGCCTCAAACTCATTATCCGTCACAATGTCAGAGTCCTGCTCTTCCGAATCTCCATCATCCAGCTCTATAGCCTGTCTCCCGTCGTCTCTTTCGTACCCATCATCTTCGCTGCTGTCTATTTCGATGATTTCGACGTCATGAAGATGGCTCGGGGGAGCTGGTGAGACCTAGAGTCCTATCAGTTTCGCATCCTCAGCTCAGGAAGAACAGCACCAAACTTACATCGGAGTACATGGAGTCCGACTCCTCCACGGAGCTTTCAGAGACCGAAGACATTGTCTATCCCTGGTCTGATGGACTCTGCTGCTGCTGCTGTTGCTGTGCTGTTGTTGCCGATGTCTTCTTCGTCGTCCTCGTCTGCTCTATTATTATTTACTCTCGCTCGCTTTCTTCCGCCTCCAGCATAAAAACTGCAAAGCTTCCAAAGACGAACTAGCGCGACGCGACCAGGCCCAAAACGTACTAGCGTCACGTGGATGGAACACTTCAAATAATTTTTTTTTTCTGGCTTCAATTTCTCTTCTCTTTTTCTTTTCTTCAAACAAATGTCATCTAGGCGGTCATTAGAGTCTCGGGACAGCCAGCTCTCTCTCTCTCTCTCTAGAAAGAGAGAAGGGCGTTTCAATGTTTGTTCAGGTTCCTCTGGAATCTCTAGCGTGCTCACGGCCGTCTTAGACCAACGACAATCCTCTACCTCTTGATTGACGTTTTCCCCCTGGAATCAAAGATATGACGGTTGTTACATACAGAATGGAAAGGGTTCTATGTTGTTGATTTATTGACTATATTGATTGATGGGACATTATTATAGTACATATTCATAGATGATGTTATATTTACATGACATGCGGTGCTGGGTGTCTATCGAGTGCTATCAATCCCAACAATATCAAAAATCGCCATTTTCAATCTGCTTCAGCTTCAATTTGAGTAAAGAAGGTTTCGGGCAGCTTGGGGTCTTTGCATCCTCTCCCTTCTGTGTATAGAGAGCGTTGCAGCATTTGTACAGCTGGATGATCTGTTTCCGACATTTGGCCTCGTTGTAGGAGTTTTTGGTCAGACATGCTTACACATTTGATACCATTAGCTTATGAGCTTGCTCTCACTTCTTGTTCTCACTTGAATAGGTCAGTGTTACCTTGAATAGCACACTAAGTGACCTGATTAGCGGGTGAATAGGTATGTCGAATTGACAGTATTGATGGATATTCAAGAGGACTCACTGCTTGCGGGTGGCAAGGAGGGTCGGCATCAACACCCTCCATCTCAGCAAGGTAGAGAACACCACCAGACCTAATCGAAAGACAAATATAAACCAGGTCGAACAGCTCTTTTCTGTCTTTTTCTTCCTCCTCTCTGCTCTTCCAACGTTTTCATCTTTCTTCCAACGTCCATCTTCCTGCCCGTTCCTTGGATTGGAACCCGACCTCACTGCATCAGATACACCGGAAAATAGATCTGCCGGCGCAGGTTCTTGCGGGGGCGACCTAAGAGATCCAGCATTCACCTTCAACTCGCAACTCCCACCTGAACGTCCGACTTTTTACAACGTCAGCTACGTCTGTTTGCAGATCTTCCTGTCCTTGACAACTATACCACTGAATCCATACACGCAGAGTCTGCACCAAAACGCCTGAAAACAGCGGAAAAATGGCCGACCTTCCCCCTCAGTCCATGCCTGCTCCTGTTGAACACCTTAATATCAAGGTGACGGATAATAACAACGAAGTCTTTTTCAAGATCAAGAGGAGTACGCAGCTGAAGAAACTTATGGATGCCTTCTGCGAGAGACAAGGCAAGCAACTCTCGACTGTTCGCTTTCTCTTTGATGGCACAAGAGTCCGGCCAGATGACTCTCCTGAGACTGTAAGCACTCCTGCTGGTTCTGCCTAACTTTCACTTCTTAACCAGAAGTCTGACTCACATATTCCATTACAGTTAGATATGCAGGACGGCGACACCCTCGAGGTGCACCAGGAGCAGATCGGTGGCTGAGCAGATGGAGATATCAAATCCAGCTTCATGAGAAACGAAGTAAGCCAACTTCTCAAGTTTGTCCATATCCCTTCTCTCAATACATGCTAACGTCTCGGTGTTTCTTCTTCCACAGCCTTTCATTCACCTCTTCCACGGCCGCCGTTCCTTTCTACCTTCCGCTTGATGTTCCCCTACGTTCTGTTTCTTTCAAACAAGTGTAATCATAGTCGTGCTTTCGAAAACACACTTTGCATATTCATACATGCTGTCACTGCGAGCCACGGTTGTCCTTCAACCAGATTTTCTGCTCCCCTTCAAGAGTTGAAAGTGGAAATTCTAGGTGGATTACCATTTCTACTCTTCTTACTCTACATACAATGTTATTGACGCGTTAGACTCGCCTTTCGAGACGAAACTCACGCTTCTTGTTCTCTTGACTTCCATGAGGTAGTAGACAATAATACTGCAAAAATTCTCACGTCAAAATAAACTCAATTAGTTGAACAGAGCAGTACCCACATCGTAATGAATTAAAGCATTAGTGCATTATCACCTCTGAGCATTGATAAAGTTTTACACGGCTTATATACAGTGAAATTCGGTGTGCTAATAGAGACAGGCGGTGGTTGGAGGTGAAATAACATCAAGGGTGATCGTGCGAATAAGAGAAGTCATAAGAAACCAACATGCAAAAGTAAAACTGGTGACATTTCGATTCACCCCCCTTTTTTTTAATTTTGTCCATTACCAGAAGAGGGTATACCTCTTTTAAACCATTTCAACCTATGGGGGTATCCTTTCCATCAACCATCAAAAACAACAGAACGCAATTCAAATTTCTCATGGTCGGGCATTATTGTATGCTGTAAGATTATATCCTGTATTACCGTTTACTATCTCCTCTCCTCGAACATCCACGGACGTACGAACGTTGATCTCCGTCAAGTTCTGGTCAGAGGAATACCCCTCAGTCGTAGTAGTGTTGTCTGTTCCGTTACGATTGTAAGGGCTTTTTTTTGCCCACGCAGAACCGTAGGAATATCCGCTACCTCCGCTGAAGCCTGCTCCTTCGCGATTGTTATATGAAGGTTTGGGTTCGGTTGAGCCACCAAAGTGTCGTAGAAGTGGGCGGAGAGAGGGTAGACATGCTAGAAAGTAGAGTCAATATGGCATAGCTACTGTCAGGGTTGGATAGGGAAACATACCTGACACCACTCCGATGTTCGTCTCGACAGCAGTCCAAGTGGACGGGCCGATGAACACCCAAGTAACGTCGATCGAAGGCACTTTGTAGGCATCCAGCATGATAGTAAGTCGGATAATTGATATGATGCATATACTAGAGGACTCCAGGGTCAGTTACTGGCATGATAGCTAGATCATTACTATGAAGAGAGGAGCTACTCACAATCCACCAAGTAGGAACGTTGCATAAATTGCAAGCTTCTGGACAGTGTTTCTGTGTAAACGCCAAATGTATGGAAGAGGCAAGAGCAACAAAGCCCAATCGGTCACAATATTTGGTACCGCATTGCCTATAAAGAAGCTGTTCACATCAACTCCACAAACTGCTGGAATTGTCTTGTCCCAGAAGCCTTGGATTGGCAGGCATTGGAAAATGGTTGTACCAATCTGTATTTGTTCTGTTAGCTGTATACAATGCTCAATTGGTAGATTCTTTTGTCAACCTACCACCCCGATACCCCATCCGGTTACCAGACCGGTGATAAGATATATTGGGATACGAATGCTAGTAGCATTGAAAATCCGCCAGTAGAATAGAAGGATAGAGTACTTCGTAAAGCATATAGACAGAGTATAGAGAATTTCAATAACGAAGAGGTTCAGGAAGAAATCTCCGAATCCTTTCAGTCCATACGGATATATATGCTTTCCAAGGCCCCTGGGTATCCCTATATGTCACCTCATCAGTTTTGGACCGTTAGTGCCAATCGAGAGCTACATACATATTATCATGGCCACGAAATTCCCCGCTGTCATAAGCTGGGTAAGTGATTAGAATAATTGGCTAATCCAACGAGGCGGGATTGTAATCGTTCTTTCATCTCATACCAAGGAAGCACATATCATGTAGTCATCCCACCATAGTCCCGGCCGCAGGTGACCAAGCCTGCAAATCAGACGAAGGCCAACAGCAACGACTGACAGGCAGAATGTGGAGATAAACGCAGCATACAGCTGTGGTTGTCTTGATTCAGATAGGTCAATTCCCGGCGGAGGGGTGAAGTCCAGCGACATCGCTCCGTATGGTGTCAGGCGGGGAGCACACCAGAGTTGGCAAGCAAACAGGGTTCACTGGCTGTTTTGGAAGACGAACGGCAGAACAGGTGAACAAAGAAAATCGGAGGGAGTGTCAAGCATTTAAGATGGCGTTTAACAGCATCGAAGCGTGTAGATCTGAGCCCTTGTATGAAGCAGAAACCATGGGGATGAACGGCATCAAGGAGAGAAATGAAGGTGAACGGTTGGAAGTCCTCAGTTAAATGAAATTGTGCCTCAACTCCGCCGGGCCCCATGTTTATCGGAAGGGTTTTTCACTCACTCTTCAAGCCCTCGTAACGCGGCGATATTAGCAGCGATGTTTTGAAGGGCATGATGTACCCTGCGAAAAACGGGTAGATCCCCTGGCGATTTCGACACCTTGAGCTAGGCCTCCGAGACGGCAGGATAATATCCGCATGATGCGAGGAGGGTTCTAAATGCCACAGCCAGCGCCTCGTTTGTTTACGAGCTCGGATCCCGTATAGAACCCTGTCGATAGTAATGTGTAGTATGGTATCGTTTTCGGGATGCAACCTAGTTAGGTAGTAGGATGGCTATATAGTCGGGGGCGGAGGACATCTGGCTTGGGCTTGAAACCCATTAAATATCACAATTTGAGCCATTTTCTATACACCAGCTTATCTGCGTGTAGATTTCGATCATGATGAAGCCAACTATTGCTGTCGTTCCAGGTGCCTGGATTCCAGAGCATTTCTACTCTCCGTACATCCATACGCTAGAAAAGGCCGGGTTCGAAACTCGCTACGCTGAATATCCGTCTCTGGAGCCCCAGAATCCTTTAACGGCCGATTGTGCAACGGACGCCAAAGCTGTCCGCTCCATTCTGGAGCCTCTCGTGGAGACCGAAGGTAAAGATGTAGTTCTCGTCATGCATTCCTACGGGAGTATGCCCGGTTGTGCAGCTGCCAAAGGATTATCAAAGACCGAACGGCTTCGAGCAGGGAAACTGGGAGGCATCCTCGGCATGATATTGTTCAGTGCTTTCCTTGTGCCCGAGGGGTTGAGCTGTGCTGGAGTTCAGGGGGGTACGCTTCCCCCTTGGATAATGCTCGATAACGTATGTCAGCTCCCTGCCTATAAGACCTTCAAATTTATCCCTATGCTCATGCACAACATCTATAGCCTGCACCTGGTCTCAACGTCCCAAAGGACCCCATCAACGTGTTTGCCGCCGACTTCGACCATGGTCTCTCCAAGAAAACTGAACAGGAATTGAAGCCTCATTCCTCGCTGGCCTTCTTTTCTCCCCAACCGCCAACGGCCTGCACAGACCCTGCATTCAAGGACCGACTGGCCTATGTTGTGGCTACCAATGACCTCGCAGTCCCGAAAGACGCACAGTATGCTATGATAGCAGGAACTGGGCAGGAGTGGAAGATCAAGGAGGTTCCTCAGAGCCACTGTGCCCCGTTCAAGGTCGATCTTGACGAGAACGTGAAAATCGTGGGGGAATTCATTGAGGCATTTCAAGGCGTCTAATCGTACATAGATATAAGTGCAGGTATGGGTGCATGATGATTTTATGCAGCGCCATTGCATGTGACTATTCCTCTCTAGTAGCGACGAAATTGATTCCCATTCTGTCTTGTGGCATCCATTCTACATCCTCGTCCTCCATCCCCCATTCATGTAAATCCACGAGCTGCGCGGTCACACTCCAGCGTGTCCCCGTTTCTTGCTGCACAATCTCCCACATCTCGTGAAATGATTCAACGTTGTGGTAAAACATCATTCCCCAGGGCCTGATATATTCCCTTGCTTGCAATCTAGCCTGCTGGTATCCAATGAGCATTGTTCCCAGCCTTGAAAGCGTCACAACTCGTTTCATCGCCTTGATCTGGTTCTCCCATCCAAACAGATGTAGGAATTGGCAGGCGATAATGACATCAGTTTTACCATCTAGGCAGGACAGTGCGGAATTATCCTGAAGAAAATCACCCTCAAGAAAAGTGGCCTTCATTCGGTCTGCGTCCTTGAATAACTCATAACCCAGGTCCCAGAGCGACGAATTGATATCGAGAGCGTACATAGACTCCGTTGGTGCTCCATAAGCAGCAAGGCGACGTAGGTCCTGCCCAAAACAACACCCAATGTCCAGGATTGTAGCACCCTTCTTTGCACGATGTACAATCTCCGGGAACTGTTTGAAGGCTGAAATGCTAGGGAGCAGGAAGATCCATTCACCCACGCAAGGGTACTCGCCCAGTGGCCAAGCTTTATCACGCTAGATGGGTGTCAGTATACTCCGTAAATGCGCGTGCTTTTTCCTCCGCGGGTATTGAGACGTCTCACGATTGAATGCAGATGAGCAATGAGTTCTTTGCCAGATACTCCACTCCATTTCTCAAACACATATCGCGTAGGGGCCTTGAGCCGCCGTCCGATCAGCGGCTTGTACCATACCGATGTGTCAATGGCCATATTTCGAGGTCGATGATTGATATGAAGTGCGTGGAAATAAACAGGGGATCTGAACAATCGCTGTCGAGTTTCTGACAAGGTGGAAGCCCCCAGCCATAATATATTACGCGCTCTGTACTTCGTACAGTGTAGTAAAATAAAGAAACCTTTAAGCAGCTGCCTTTCTTGAGTAAAATTCAGTGGCCACCACACGATCAGGGCTCTGTTTCACAACGAGAACCCTTATCAGGACAAGTCTTGACGACATGGTCCTGGTCATCGGGCAGATACCCTCCGCCATGGAGATGTTCAAATGAGCCCACATCCATTGTTGTTCACAAAGTCGGCCCCCTGTTTAAGGTTGGGTGTTGTTTTCTCGTCTAGGAGCATCCTGGCTTGTGGAAGGAAGTTGCAAATGCAAGCTTAAAATATGTGGGTTCCTGGGACAGTGGAGATCAACTCAAGGGATTCAAGGTTGGTTCCTTTTATCCTTTTTCACTCCCTTTCTTCCGTCGTCACTCGTAATCTGTTCCAGCGGACGACGTCCATCACGAGGGGTATCTATGCGATATCTGATCGCTCTTCCGGCAGATCAATGCTAGTTAGCCGCATGCAGAGTATAGCAAAAAGGAGAAAAGACCGTGGCAAGCTCGTGAGCCTGCAATCTCTTGCCTCTTTCACTCCCCTCCCTGCATTTCTTCCCTTGCAGCGTGCAGGGATACGGGAGGTTGTCGAGGTGTGCGAAGAAGCGAGGTTGGCTTGCGGTTAGAAAGGGCCGTCGGGTCACGTGAATGAAACCTCGTAACACTGCAGAAACGAACTCGAGAGGAACGAAACGAAAGATGCCTGCTCGATGACGGCTGTTCAAGCCAGGTCGATCCATGGCTTGCCAACGCGTAACTCAGTACGTATACAAGCCGCCTGTTCCTTCAAAACAAGTCATAAAGCACATATTTTAACGACAGGATACAGGGAATAACCGAAAGCCCAACCAGAGTTGGCACCTGCACTCAGAACCGACACAGTCCGATAGCAAAGGCTAACTAATAGGTTCGGTCCATACCCCAATCCCCACAATACTGGCTGTCTGTATTGCTTGGTCACTACCTGCATATGCAATGGATTGCTCGCGCAGCCGAGGAAGGCCTATCGATGCTGAACATCTTGCTGATGCTGATTGACGAGACAAGCCTTCTGCAGGAGGCTTGTACTATGTTCTAATAAATTGGTCCTCACATATCCTAAAAGACGGATATCATGTGAGGCACCTCAGCCTGAATAGGAATATGCAGTGTTTTCATATACCCCATGTTCCGTTTGCCGGCTTTTTTGCATCGCCGAAGCATTCAGGGACACTTAAGGGATGATTCCCAACATGGCAGCGACAACGCCCCTAGCAACATGTCTTATCCCTTGCGGATAGACTGATATTGTCCAATGATGGACTTATCGTACATCAAGAGAATAATTGCTAATTTTAACTCCGAAAAATTATGGACAAAAAATGCTCTGCCGAGGTACAAAATACGGAATATTGCATCCAGAAGGGTGACAGCTTCAATCCTGAGATATAACGGTTTCTGATATCAATAACTTTGAATTGTGGGATGTCAAGACCGAAGTGACTGAAAAATGGTCAATGGTCTAAACAAGATTTCCCTCTATGCATGCATTCTCAAGAGTTTTTCACTTTCCACAACTCTGGTGCCATAAACTTTCTGCATGTACCCCAAGATATCTTCGTCCTTCAAGTGCAGAGCTGTCGTACAATCCTGGACAACAGTGGTCCATAAGCCTCTCTGGAAAGCTGCCTTTGCTGTTGCGTCAATACATATGTCGGCGTACAGGCCCATGAGAATGATGTGTTCAATCCCTTTTTCAGAAATATACTTTTCGAACTCAGGGCTCTGGAATGCATCAAACTGAGCTTTCTTCGTGAATATATGTTCACCGCGCGCCGGTGAGAGGGCTGGGGATAGATCAGCTCCCCAGGTTCCTTCTACGCAGAGCTCTTTGCGGCTCTGAACGCGGTTTCGATGCCTCCAACTAGCATTCTGGTAACGCTGGTCCCCTAAATGCTGGATAAAGACGATCTCTTGTGCATGAGACCTAGAAAAGGCAAGTACACGAACAAGTGCATCCGTTATGCAGCTCACAGTCTCCGGATTTCCCAGCGAGATGAAATCGTTTTGAAAGTCTACCACCACTACAGCTGTCGCCTTCTTCATGAAAGCAGCTGCAAAGTCTGGTGCTGGACATATGTCTGCAGGATCGTCGGCCAGAGAGGAACACTGTGAAAATTCGCTTCCAGTTGGCGTGCCAACACTTGGGCTTGGAAGTGTCTGAAGAAAGAGATCGACAAAGGCGTTGGTGGTGAGATTACCCCCTTGATCCGGTGTAACTGACTTATTCTGTTGAAGGATATTTAACGTCTCATCGACCTCAGCATCAATACCAGTACAACCACCAAAACGCTCGAGAATAGCGGCAGCAGCACGTATAGTGGCAGATGGATTTACGATTCCTTTGCCTGTGATATCGTCGGCCGAGCCATGGGTGGTCTGGTACTCGCTAAGCCGGTTCAATACTGGCTTCAAGTAGACGTTTTCTGAACAAGATGTTTCTTGAACCCGCATGTTGAATCTCTCCAGGAATATTGTCTGCATGATATCCGCATATTCGTTGCCAGCCACCATCAAGCAACGGTTAACACCAAACGCAATCATATTCCTGTTCATTGTGTCCGGCTGAATAAACTCCACTTTGATACCAAATTCTTCAGTCAATTCCTTGGCCCAGGATAACAATAATCCATCGAAGAGATGGAACTTGTATACTAAAAAGACGGTTTTTATATCCCCAAGGTCATCGCCCCATTTCTCTCTTGCCCGCTCAAGAGAGAATGCTATGATATGCTGGAACACTTCTTTGCGGAATTCACATACCCTCGATACAGATTTCTGATCACTTTCGAGTTTATTGGTTCCGGTATAGAACCCCTGTGCTTGATCTCGGATAACCAAAAGAGATGATGTACCACGATCAAAGCATTCGACCTTGACGGCTTCCAATTGCTGACGCACTGCATACAGTGACTGGGCACTTATTGCTGTTCGGAATATGACTTTCAGACCTCTACTGGCCTCCCGCTCACAAAATTGCTGATAGTGCGTGATGTCATTTACGGTTTCGTCGCAGATGTCGAGGATTGCATTCTGGCTTTCATCCGAAAGAGGTAGGGAGTTGTAGGAGTGATAAATTCTGTCCGATCGGACGAATTCGATTCTCAGAGAATAACGGGACGCCAATTCTCGCAGGACATTCTCGAACACCACCGCCAGCTCTGGGCCTGTTCCGTGTCCAATTGCAACGCCCACCCGTAATGCATCTGTCCCATGCATCTTGGCAGATGGATTTATGAGGATGAAAGATGGAGAGGGCTTTTGGCGACTAGAATTTTCTTGGGTGACGAGGCCCCTTGGTTGGCTTTTATCTCCGTATGTGGACGCAAGGAACAGACCGGTGTCTTCAAGGTGCGGTTTATCTTTTGTCTAATGAGGGATATTTAAAACTGAAATCTGGCATTAACGGGAAACGAAGCGGGCTGGATGGGACAATTCACTCCAATCTCAGAAGCGAGGTGTTGGTACGGAGTACTGACCAGGTCAAGGCCACGGGGTTACTACTATATACCTTCAATCTTGCCTCCTTTTGACGATTCCTCCACGCTAGTTTTTCCTCCTTTATACTTCGATGGATCGTTTCCCTCTTTGACATCCGGAAGCACGAATTACTGTCTAACTTGGTCGCTGGAGTTCAACAAATCATTTGCCCTTTTCCTTACGGGATTTTAACTCTCTTCGTCTCTTTCTGCTCGCAAATTTGGCATTTGTATGGATATTTATCGGCCATGCATTATGGATATGAGAATACGGTGCGACAAGCTTCCTCCGCGTTTTTTCTTCCCTTCTCTTATTTCTTATTCTGAGGGTTCAGGGGTCAGGACCATCGGCAAGATGAAATCCTATTTTAGTACACCTCGCATATGTGCTTTCTACTGGTTGCATGCACGGTCAGAATCAACCATCTAAGCTTTTTGGCAGGATTCCTGATTCTAAGGCAGAGAGCACGCATAATTATCTCCTGTCGTATATAGAGAAGTTTACGTTACGTACCCCGAATGATGGTCGTGGCGATCCTCCTTGGTACGGGAGTTTTCTATCCGCCTGACCATGGAGCCAGAGGGGGCCTGATCTCGTCTCTGATCTTGCAGTATAGCATAGGAGAAGGATATGGTACAGATAAGGTCGTTTGAACCTGGTCCTTCCCTGATGCCTCCGATCTCGCTGTTTCCCAGTCCATGGATTCGACTCGATCCAACGAACATGAAACTTCCTTGGCTCGTATCCATAACTCGACAAGAGACGCCACCATCTGTTAATACTCCTTCCATATTTCTCCCTGCCGCCGTTACTTGGATCAGGGGAGATAGCATACATCCAGATTCTATCGAAATTTGGACTTCTGGTACATCCAATCTCTGCTCCAGGACAACGAGGAAACGTGAAGGAGGGGATTTGATCTATATTAAACCTATTCTCACTATTCCTTGAATAGAAGGTCTGCACGTTTGGCAGCGTATATTAACCCCTGTATCTAACTAAAAACAGCATCATGCATGGGAAACTGAGGAATCCTCTGTCATTCAAGTTTCAAGCGGTTCTCTCTCTGCAACAAGAGAAAGATGCTTCACACGACGGATCCACACAGCATCTTTATAAGACCTGTGTTGGCATACTTAACTAGTCATATTATTATATCCGAGGGGCGATAACCCAGCCCATCGTACTCTGTATTGGGCTATGCAAATATCTGATACATATACTTACCCCACGATATTCTTCAGGCAAGCAAGGATGCCATGGAATTCAGCCACTCAGCATCCCGGACAAGGGGCATCTCAAGGCGAAAATTAAAATTATGGAAACCAACGCTGCAAACCCGCAGAAATCGGTGACCTCCAACACATTCTCAGATGACGTGGTCTAGCTGGAAATCCATGTGATACTTGCTGGAGATAATTCTGCTGGTTCAAGAATCAACAAAATCTAAATATTTGGACCAATTTTCTCCTGCACCATTCATCCCAAAGTATCCCTGCACTTTTTGACTGAAACTTGCTCGATACGAACATCCCCGAAGACGAAAGAACCCTGTACTCCAGATGGATTAGTTACTGTGCAATGACACCGATCCTCACCGACCTTTTCTCGTATATACTTCCATTCTGACAGCCACTTCGAGAAATCAACTGGCTGGCGAATAAGGTTCCCTGGGTCTTCCCCTGAAAACGGCCTCCGAGGCCGACATGGCTAACCACACTTGATCGGAGAGAAGAAAATGGTGTTGGAGAGCAATTAGTCTCCAGTGGTTCTTGAAATCGGTACATTGCATGCTGGACAATCTTGCATTATCAGTCTCCACAGGCAGGGTGTTGATGTGCTCTTCTGCGGGATGGAAGCGAAGATGCCCGAATGTCACGACCGTTCTGCCTGCCTGCTCGGCAAGGAGGGGACAGATTGGTCTTACCGATGATGTTACTTCTCGGAACCGGCACGCGCACTTGAACATTAGCGAACTGAAGGTTTTACAGTTCCTGTGCAGGATGTACAGTACGATACTATTCCGTACAATGTGTCAACCTCTCGGAGGGCGGAAAAATTTCCCATTTTCACCGTTATGGAAGAGTTTTGATCGAGTCAGAAGGTGAACCTTCGCTTTCCTTTTTCCTTTAATCTCGGATTTGCAAGGGAGCGGTGTGTCTTGACGAAGGCTATTGTTCCTAGCTTTGCGGAGATCCTCCTCTTTATAATTGTCCTATGCGGCCTGTGTTGATTGAGGACCCCCTGAGTTCAAGAACAGCCAAGATTTCAATTCAACGGTCATTTCCTTGTCCGTTTTCATGTTCTCCTGCTACTCTCATTATTGACAGATATTGCTCTGAAGATATTACGCGAAAGAGATGCCTCCCGTCCCTCATTTGCCTACCAAGTCGCAAAATGATATCAGCTCCGGATTCCACCTCGCTGATGGACGAGGATACATGCTTGATCGTGGCTATTTTGCCTCGTCTAGGCTGAATTTTCAGTTTTATCTCTGGAAAGAGTCTTTACATTTTAAATTGCACCCATCTATCTCTACCCCAATAGAAAATTTGCGGGTTGCAGATATTGCCACAGGAACTGGATTATGGCTCTTTGACCTAGCTCGGGAGTTACCAGAGTCCGCACAGTTGGATGGGTTTGATATCAGCCTTGCAAATGCTCCTCAGAAACAATGGTGGCCGCGCAATGTTACAATAAAGCAGTGGAATATTTTTGATGATGTGCCGGAAGAAATGATCGGAAAATATGACATCGTTCACTTGAGACTATTGATTCTTGTGGTTGAGAACAGCGATCCAAGGCCTATCATTCAAAAAGTCCATAAGATGTTAAAGCCAGGTGGCTATATTCAGTGGGACGACCTGAACTACCCGGATACACATGTCAGACAGCCTCTATCAGCAGCAGCAGGCTCAACTCCAGCCTTTGATTCCCTGCGAGAGTTTGTGTACTCCAACGGTCGACACGATTGGGTACTGCAACTTCCTAGAATCCTCAATAGCGAAGGATTTGAGGGTGCCAGGCAGTTCAACTACGTGGATAGACCTGATCTCACAAAAGCAAACGGTGATCAACATCTTCTAACAATGGAAGAGTTTGCAACGACCCTGGCGGCTGCAGGCAATCGCCAGGCCTCGGAGAAGATATTCAATTTGATTGGCGATGTTTATCAGGAATCAATGACCGGAGCAGCCCTGTCTATGCCACGGGTTGTCAACATTGCCCGGAAACAAAGCGGCGAAACACCGCACTCTGTATTATAGAATTGAGGTGTACAGCTTTTGCTTAAGTTGCTATTCTCTAATAATCTCCTTGCTGTCATCTAAATACATTGAGAGTGAAGCAGGGAATTCACATTACCAACAAATAAATGTCTATAATTACTTCTGCTGGATGGTACCTCCCATCCATGAAATCGGCTTGAATAACCGCATGTGGCCTAGCATTGCGGTTGTCACCATCACTTACCAGAACAAGGCATAGGCCCTGTTTGGGTCACATCAGGTTGAATACGAACACATCCAACCGATACCAATGAACCTTTTATTATCATTCTTCCCAGGCAGTCATAGTTTTTCTAATGCAGGCATGGCTCGCTCAGAGTTTATGTTGTGAAACTCGAGACAGTCATTGGGCGGGAGCTCCCGTCAACTCTAAAAATAAGCCAGTCTCGGGAAGGCGAAAAGGCATTTCCCGTGCTTTGTTCCATGATTCGGACTTTTACTGCAAGCCCCGAGATACATTCCTCTCTCGTCGTCATATTACCGCTCCTCTTCGATGACACATGGAACACTAAGTGCTGACGAGTCAACCAGGCCAAGTGGAATTGTGGCTGATATTGAGCTTGAACTCACTACTCAAAACTATGTTTACGGAGTATACGGGCTTAGATCTTTCATGAAACGCTATTGCGCGGCACATTCTGTCCAATGCGTTGGTTGACTGGCAATTGACATGCAAAGAACAACCTGGAGAGAAACAAAGGAATTATATCGTTGTGTCATAAAATATCGGTGTGACCAACAGTTGCAACTTCTTTCCCGAATAAATAGTCCACCTCGCTAGTTCGGGCGCCTTAATTCGTACGCTGTAACAACCCATGACTGTAGGATTTATTGTGAAGAACAAATGAAGTATTCTCCCATTCCATGCATACCCAGTATCCATGCCCTTGGAGAGTGATAGCAAGCTTTATTTAGAGAACTCGTATGAAGCTCTGACCTGCGATTTTCGGCCGTATGACCACCTAAAGACCGCACGAATGTCCGCAAAAGTCGATTCGAACGTCATAGTTTTCTATTCGTAGAGAGTCCGTATACTCGAATCTCAGGATCCGAGAATTGGCTTGAGCAACCCTGGTCAAGAAAGCGGCTATCCTTTCCTTCAGCCAAAGTAGATGACTCCAACTGTAGTCTAGGGTATCAATTACGAGGACTGGTGGGGAGAGCGGGAGCTCTGTTATTATAGATATGGCCGTATGAGTAAGTCAAGTTTACTCGAACTCGGCTAAGAAGAGTCATATATTACTCGAAGAACCCTTCGGGGAAAACCTCTCACCTCCCACATGTTTATCCAATAGGTGCGACCTGTTTCCAATCATTGGTATTGAGTGATAAAAGATATGGACCTTGTTCGAGGGTAACTTGGTACTCCTTGCCAAAGAAGATGAGCCAAGTTACAGTTGCAAAATTGGCAGGAATTGGTTCCACTCGAAATACAGGTCGAGTGAGTGATAACTTCAGGGGCATGCTTTTGACGCTATTCAGGGTTGAGAGGTCTATCATTGCCTTCCAAGTTCGGCCTCGGGCTGGAAGATGCTATATTGGAGGACAACATATGAGGTACCTGTGGCTATAAAATCATGTCGTGATGGCTTTTACAAACCACTTGGAGAGTTTAAGATTGTAGCTCCAGGCTACAATGCTTCCTCTCTTGACCAAAAGCTGGACTTCGCGGGTATCTTATGGACAAGCAGGGCCTGTACTCATTTTCAGGTGTTAACGATCATTTGATTCGTTATATCCCAGCAGTCCTGGACAAGCTCAACATGCTACTGATCCAGGTGAACCACAAGAAGATATAACTACCGGTGGTTGATAGGAGGTTGAACTTGAAACTTCAAAGAGCCAACTAGCTAACGGATTTAACTAACTAGTCAAAGAGGCCAAAGGTTGTCGCTCCGGGAGAGGCAGAAAGAGAGTTTTTTTTCGGGAGAGCGGAACCCTAGCGGATGCTCCCGCCTCCGTCGCCATCTTTTTTTTGAGCCCCAAACTTGTTTGATCCATCCGCTCCTTATGGTTGTTCCAGTCGACAACTCTCAGGTCGATTTTGTGGACACATATTGTGGCTCAACATGCTGGGCTGAACCGAGGCTCGTATCTCGGGAAGCCCAATATATGAGCCACGCGGCTGGCAGTTGAGTGGTTGATTAGACGGGGCCAGTAACATCATCACAAGTAAGCGGGAAAGTTATTCAACTCTTTCCGATTCTCACAACAGCGGAGATTCAATACCTCACTAATATACGGAGTAGTCATACGGAACTGGAATAGATGGGATCCGCTAAATAGCACGGCTGGCTTGTCTCCCCGTCATGGAGCATCTTCCCTCGCTGTGCACGGTGGCGAAAGAGTCGCTCTTCACGGTGCCAGGGATAGTCTGCGTGGGCGCTGCGTACCTCACAGCAGTGCAGCTTCTTCGTTTCAGGAGGATTCGCAGTCTGGAGAAGCAGTATGGGTACCATACCCGCGAGTCAATGAGCAAGATGACCAACGACGAGGCGTGGGCGATTCATCAGACCATGATGACGCTTGAATTTCCGTTCTTCACGCTCAAGGGACTGCAGTTCGCACTGTTCAAGGTATGTTTTTCAGCAGTCTCCCCAGGCAAGAACATTTAATTACAGCATGAAGATGGAGGACTAATAAAGTCGTCGTAACTATGGCAGACGTATGGCATTCCTACTATCTCGAGGCTGCTGGTGCAAACCTCGGAGCTGTCCAACCCGCAAACATCATCAAAGCGATATATGGACACTTCTGTCCTCATCAACGAGTTTGTGGCAAACCCGCCAACCTCAGAAAGGGCACTTGAAGCACTCGCCCGCATGAATTATATACATAGCCAGTACCGCAGAGCAGGTAAGATACTGGATGACGACATGTTATACACTCTCAGCCTGTTTGCACTTGAACCAACCCGATGGGTGAACCAGTATGACTGGCGCAAGATCACCGACCTAGAGAGATGTGCGGCGGGGACGTTCTGGAAGAGCATAGGAGATGCGATGGAAATCAAGTATGATAAGCTGCCGTCAGCCGACACGGGCTTCAGAGACGGAATACACTGGCTGGAGGAGATCGATGCCTGGAGCAGGGAGTATGAACGCAGGTGCATGGCTCCAGACAAGAACAACCATGAGACGGCCAACGAGACCGTGGAACTGCTGCTTTATAATGCCCCAAAGTTCTTACACCCCGTCTTGTGGAAGGGCGTCATTTTCCTGATGGAGGACCGTCTCCGGGTTGCGATGATGTATGTGCTTTTGAACACCCCCGCTGTTACACACGCCCTTGCAATTACAAGTTCTAGCCCACCTAACCAGATCGTGACCAGATATGAGCGCCCCGAGTGGATATACCAGTTCATCTTCGCAAACACCCTTGCACTGCGCCAGTTCGTGGCCCGCCATCTTCTACTACCCCGCCCCTATTGGCGCCGCTCCGTTCGCCATTCCGAAGGGGGTGACGATGGCTCGAGACCACATAGCGTTTTAGCCTGGGACAACGCGCCCTACTATGTCAAGCCCACGCTATGGAACCGCTGGGGACCGGAGGCACTGTACACTCGGCTGCTGGGCAAGCCGGTCCCTGGTGACGATGGCGATAAGTATTTTCCGAACGGGTTCGTCACTCCGAGCGTGGGGCCGCAGCGGTTCTTGGGCAAGGGTGAGGAGTATCACGGTCAGATGATGAAGAAGCTGCAGGCTGAGCGGACGGGACAGTGTCCTTTTATGCGATGACAACCCGTAAATATAACTAGAGAGCTAACCACTCCACGTCCCTATCTTCTCACAGCTGCATCTATCTCAGGGGATTGTGGGTGAAAATGATGTACCTATTGGACTGTAGGGTATTGTCGGATGTACGGAGCTTAGTTAGCTCTCGGCCTACATATCCATTCGCTATTTTCGCCTGCGGTGGCTTCATAATTGACAGGTATTAAATTCATGTGTGCTGTCAACCACTCCTCTCTCTACTACAGGGCCATCCCCACTGCTCTGTGAGGCAGGTGTACTAGCCTTCTCCTGCTCTTGAAACGCCCTATAATCTTAATGCCAGTTCCATTTCGAATCTTGCTGGCTAAGTGGCCCTCTCGGATATCTGCCATCATATTAGTATCGGAGGGGTAAATCGTGCTCGAAAACAGGGTCCCCTGTGCTTTTCATATGAGCAAGGACAGCTTGTCGAAAATGCCAACGCAGTATTTCATCAGACACGCGACCACTGTCGAGAATCCTCCCCATCAACCCCAAGCGTATCCGGGCCAAA